TCTCTGCTGTTCTCCCTTGGGGTGAACTGTTATCCTGAACAGACCTTTTCAGTGAAGGTTTCACAGCATGGGTTTCACAGCATGAGACTCTGCTGTGCTGCCCAGCATGAAGCAGTATTCTTTCCATTTGGCTGTTAACCCTTGCTCACTGACTGGCTGGTTCATTGCCCACTGCTGAGCTCGTCCCAGCTCCAGTTCATTCCTTTTCCTGTCAATGTCTGAGGTCTGTAGCACCGGGTGTGGGTGTGTGTGTGTCTCAGTCCTGGGGTCTGAAGTGCTGGGTGTGTGTGTGTGTGTCTCACTCCTGTGGTCTGAAGCGCTGGGTGTGTGTGTGTGTGTCTCACTCCTGGGGTCTGTAGCGCCGGGTGTGTGTGTGTGTCTCACCCCTGGGGTCTGTAGCGCCGTGTGTGTGTGTGTCTCACTCCTGGGGTCTGTAGTGCAGGGAAATGCCTGGTTGAGACCCAGAGGACAGACAACTGGTGTTTCTTTCTGGTGCAAGATGGAAGAGTCCTAAGAGGACGAGTTGAAAACGCGGCTCTTGTCACATTGCTGTGTTTTCATGTTGTTTCCGTCTGTTTCCTCCGTCGGCAGGCCCGCATCTGAAAGTCCGCCATGGCCCCCACACTCGCCACCGCCCACTCCCGCCGCTGGTGGATGGCCGTCACGGCCGTCATCGAGAACCTGCTGTTCTCCGCCGTGCTGCTGGGCTGGGGATCGCTGCTCATCATGCTCAAGTCCGAGGGCTTCTACTCCTACCTCTGCCCTGAGCCAGGTAAGCTCTCACTGGACCCGGGCCCCCGCTGACCCCTCACTGGACCAGGGCCCTCACTGGACCAGGGCCCTCACTGGACCAGGGCCCCCGCTGACCAGGGCCCCCGCTGACCCCTCACTGGACTCGGGACCTCGCTGACAGGGGCTCTTAATAGACGCTTGGCTCTAGGAGCCAGTATTTGCTAATATGTTGCCTGAGATTGCTTTCGGTTAACCTCCATGTCTAGTTGAGTCACGTTTTTGCCGAAATTACGTCTGATGTGCTCCGAAGTGCTTGTCCTGTGGCTCATGTGGCCCCTGTGGAGAAAACGGGCTGTGTGAGTGTGGGGGCTCCTCCAGTCCCGGGGTTCAGTGCTGAAACCCCGTGGCTAAGAGAGCCTCTCCTTCAGAAGAGCTGAATTCCACCCCAGAACAAAAACACAGAATGAGCCCATAGAATCTAAGCATTAGAGCAGCCCATCCATTGAATTATTAATGATGAAGAAAAACAGGGTTTGGTAGGAAGGTACAAATACAAAGAGACATTTCTCTCCTGCCTGAGTTAAAGACGTAATGTGAGACCATTATAGCGAGGGTTTGGCAGCCCGCTGCTCTTAATGGAAAGATAATGTTTCAGCTGCACGTCCTGCTGGAAACAGTCCCTGCCCTGTGGGTGTCTGTGCCAGGCTGCCTCGCTGTGCCCCGGTGGATCAGTGGAGTGCAGGAGTGCCCCCCTCCCAGCTACTAAAGCATGGTAGGGTTCTGTCTGCAGCACGTCTGAGGGGCTCTCTGCCGCTGAGGACAGCCCCTGTGTGAACGAGATTAGCCAGGGCTGGCTGTCACAGGGAGCAGGAACTGATACTTCAGCTCTCACTTCTGCTTCAGAGCAGGTTTCGTGAATGTGGTCCCGAAACAAAGAAGAAACTCTTAGCTTTACTCGTCTTTAAATTACGAATGTGCTGGTTAGACAGGGCAGATGAAAAAAACAGCGATAAGAGGTTTTCTGTAGATCTGTAATGCAATGGCTGTTCTCTCTGGATACATATCACAAGGGCCACTTGTTGAACTGAACTGTTAATGGATCCAATTACGTCTTTCAGGCTCACCTCTTGTTCCTTTGAGTGCTCTGTGTCTCCTGTAGTTGGTGATAGTCCTGATCTGGCTGAATTGCTACCTTTTAGCACCTAGAGCAGTGAATAGATGCAAACCAAGCTCTCAGGTACTGGACTTGACGGAAGCCTTCATTGAAGAAAGAAACAAGGTTCTCATCAGACGTCGTTTTGAGCGCTGGTCCGTTGAGAGCACTCTTCCTGCTGCTGTCCGGTGCAGTCCAGCCACACCTCTCTTCTTGTGTCTCTCTCCCGGCTTTCTCCACAACCCTCTTTCTTCTGCAGTGCTGGTCTTGCCTGCTCCTGGAAGCACAGCTATTTCTGATCGACTTCCTACAGGCTGTTCGTCCTGGGGCTGTTTGATGGAGTTTATAACGCAAGTTCAGGAGGGATGACAACCACGCTCAATTGTACAATACTCAGCTGTCAGTAATTAGCAATCACTCCCATCATCCTTCCTCCACCAAACGCTATAAATATCAACCTGATTTCCTGCTCTCCCTCGCATGCGACGTTCGCATCCCACCTCCACCCCAGCTCCACCTCTGCTGCTGCCCCTTGGTCACCCTGCGTGGGGGTCCTGGCCTCCTTGTCCCCTGGCCAGGAGGTCGGCCCTCAGCCAAGCAGATTAAGCCAATACCCGCTCCATAATCGTTCATCGTGCTTCGATCTTGGGCGTTGTCATTCCAAGTGAATTCTGATTGGTTCCGTACCAGTGCTTCCTCAGTGTAGCAGGGCCCGTCAGTGTGTGTGTTGGTCCCTTTCGTTCCTGTAACAGTTTCGTCTCTTGTTGCTGTTCCCAGTTTACCACTCGGGCCTCCATCTGATACTCATTAGTCCCGGCGGCACGCACTGGTCAGTCTGCTTCTCTCTTGGCCAACAGTCCTGCTCCCCCCAGGCGCCTCAGTACTGGGATCTCATTGCTGCAATGTGCAACAGCCGCCCAGGGCAGAGCAGTTTTTTAACTCGGTAGTCCTTTTAATCTCTGTTTCCTGCCTGAATGGAGCTATCTGATCTGACTGGGAAGCCAAGATGGTCTTGTTTTAATGGTTGAAATGATGTCATCAATCTATTAAATAATTCGTTCAATATGCAGAAATCTCGTGGCTGAATGAAAACCCGATTTCTTGAAATCGGGGATGTGAATCCAGTGAACCATCGCTCGGCATGACTGCTGAAGGTTTCCAGTTCTTTGCAAATGGTGCACTCATGCCTCAGTGCAGTGCAGTACAGTGCAATCAGCTCCCTGCGGAGACGATTGCCACGTGCCAGAGTGCGAGTGGCTTTGGCAGAGCGCTGTGTGGTAAAGTCCAGTGCTGTGCATGCAGGAAAACGTGCCTCCTCGTTCACCTGAGCGTCTCCGAGAAACGGCTTGCGAAAGCTGCCACACCCCCACTGGACTGGGCTTTGCAATGGGCTGCTAAAACACACTCAATCATTTTCGCTTCTGATTGCCAAAGCCTGTACCTCAGCAGGAATGGGAGCGCCTTTTGTACCTGGACGAACAGCACCTTCCCAGGATCTCCTGTTTTCTAAGAAGCAAGTGTTCACGCCCACAGTGGCGGAGTCCTCTTACCTTCCTTCCTCTCTCGCGGGCGGCAGGATTACCTGCGGAGCGCTGGCTCTGTGACTCCGTGCCTGTGGCTGGAAGGTTTCCGGTTCAAATCTCACGGCTGGCAGAGGAATCCTACTCTGTTGGGGCCCTGAGCAAGGCCCTTCACCCCAGCTGCTCCTGGGGCGCTGTACAATGGTTGACCCTGCGCTCTGACCCCCAGCTTCTCTCTCCCTGTCTGTGTGTCTCATGGAGAGCAAGCTGGTTTACGCGAAAAGAAAAAAAATCCTAATGCAAGAAATTGTATATGGCCCATAAAGTGATCTTGTCTTCAGTTATGCTCGAGCTATTTTTGATCAAGTCCGTTTTAATGCAAAACATCTGCGAAGGAGTGGCCAGATCTGGGAGCAGATTTCAAGTGTATGCTGCAAGTGTGTGAAGGTGCAGAGAGTGTTTCTACATTGGGGGCTCTTGTCAGAAGCTTCTTTTGTCACGGTGATGCTTACAGTGTCAAAGCAGGAGTTATGAATGACCACAGAGGCAACATGTACAAAAACTGCACTCAGCTGATCAGATTGTTTACTCTATGAAACTGCTTCGACATGCCTGAAACCAAAGAAAAAGAATAATCCAAGTACACTTTTCTCATTGTTGTCTGCTCAGAATTCCCGTCAACCTCTAGCGATAATAAAGTACAAGGCTGTAGAGCATTATTCGAGTCTCTTCATGATATCTGTACCTGCTGTGTGACGTTCCTGCTCTGCCCTGCTCGATTCTTTGCTTCCAAGAACGTGTTTTCCTGCTCTTGGATGAAAGAGGAATAAGGCATCAGTGTGACTTTGCAGCCTCTCCCTCTCACCGTCTCCAGCAGCAGTCCAGTCCCATCACGTGTGCTGTAATGGGCATCATTGCCAGAGGCTGCAGTCTCCAGCTTGCAGTACTTAACGCTTCAGGAATTTTGCGCTGAGTTAACATCAGTGAGAGGCTGTCACCTGAGAGAAATACCTGCACCAATGTGATCCAGTTTTCTCTGGCGCATGCTAATGCGCTGAGAGGGTTTGTTTGCCCAGTGGCTGAAAATGCCAGCTTCGCTCAGCAGCTTTCACACAGCTGGAATAGTGAAATTCTCAGGAGCCCCATGAATGCTTTTTCTGTTCATTGTCCAGTCCAAACATAGCTTTTCTTGCTTGATGTCTTGTCCAAAAGTATTCAGTTACAGGTCTCTGCTTTGTCAGGTGTAACCGAATACTTTAAACTGGGGCTTTGTGATGAATAACAGAATTAATAAGGATGTTGAGCACCTGTGGTCCCTTGCTTACATATATGCCTCTGTGCTGGAGCCAACCTTCAAGGGCATGATGGGAAATGTTTTCTGGCAGTTCTGAAGAGTGAGAGTTTTAAACTGTTTTGGGTAATTATTGATAGTGGTTTGTGTCTGAGAGCCCCAGAATCCCTAGAGCACTGAAAAGAGCCCTCAAACATGGGAAGGATACAAAGGACATTCAACCTCTCTAGTCCATTTAGAGAGATTGAGCTCATTGAATGTGTTGGCCCGGTTGAACCAAACTATTTTTCTGTGGCGGTGGGAGAATATTTGTTTTCCTGGTTACATTAACTTTCTGTGATGTTCTGGAAAAGCTACATTTGAGCATTGCTCTGTAAATCAAAAAAAGAGAAAAAGTCCAGCATTAAATTAACAAAATTATGTGACGCTGTTCACAAAATGTCTCCTGATTTGAGAACTACATTTGATTCAATTCAATTCAACTTTATTTTTCATTATACTTGCATGAGTGCGTAGTATAGTGAAAAGTGTTTCTCATTAGTCTCCCAGGTGCAGTATATAAATAGGACAGCAGACAAGACAATAGACAGTAATACAATAACCGTGTGAACAACAGTATGGTGGCAGGCCAAAATTGTCAAAAACTGTGCAAATACGCAAACAGAGAACAGTTTACAATCGGGACACAAACAGTGCAAAAATAATATGGCGTTGTATAAATAGTACAAGTAGTACAGTTTGATGACAATTGATGTTCTTCTCATGAAGTTAATTTTCATTCCTGCTCTTATGGTGAAGCCCACATGCCATCTTGCGCTTGGGTGCCACATGCTGCCTGCCTGCCATGCAAAACTCTGAAGAGGAAAGTCTGTCAGCCTTTTCAGATTGGCCTTCATGTCCACTTGTAAGATACTATTTCTGCTCCTGAAGAGATGAGTGAGTTGCACAACCACCTGAGTGTACTCCTAATCAGTTGTACTTTGATAAGAGCAGAAGTGAAATTTCCTTCCCTCTGCCTGGCACTCCCTTATCGGCTTTTGTTCTACAAACACTGGACTCTGCAGAAGTCATGAAGATCAAATCAGTAAAGTTTGTTTTTATGGCCTGGGTAGAAGATAACGCGCCTGTACCATGGAGCAGTGGGAGGAGACCAGTTGCTGGGCTGCCGGCGAAGGGAGGTGCTGAGCTCTGGGGTCAGTGCTCATCTCCCACGTGTGCACCGTGCATCACGGGGTTGTGAAACGTGGAGGAGAGTGCAGTCTTGCTCAGCAGCTGTGTTCACGACACCACGCACCCTGACTCCCATTTACGCGCCGTCAGCTTCTCCCACTTCCACATTTTAAAGTCTGCTGCAACACCGAAAACTTTTTTAGAACTTTTTTCAAACGGTTTTTATTTTTCGACCTGTTGAGCCCATTTTTTTTTCCTGTTTCAAAGAAACAAAAAGGCCTAGAATGCCCATTTGCTTTTACCAGACATAACACATTATATTCTGCCATTTTCTTTCGATCTCGGTTAAAAACGTGAATGTTTCCCTTCTTGCGAGGAAGTGGAAAGCGGAGTGGGTTTTGATTCTGTGCGTAAAGGACACCAGTCAAATCCCCACCTCATCTGCAGTAGAGGCCTGGCTGTTTGATTCCTGTGTTTACCCGAGACCCTCGCAGACGTCTCACCAGTCTGACTGAGGGCAGCCCAGGCCTGAGGCTGGAGGGAGGCTGCACACAGGTTTAGTTCTGTTCATTGTAATGAAAATTACAATTGAGATTAAGGGCACAAATGGACATAAAGATCTGCGGATTGTTAGCTGATGCATAATTATAACCTGGGACAGGGGAAATGGGCTGCTGGTGGCCAGTGTTGGCGCTGCACCAGGGAGAGGATCTCCTAATAACAGCGCTTGCACCCTGCTGAGTGCCCTCTGCGGATGTTGACTCCATCCCAGCGGTCTCCCGGGGAGTCTGGCCCAGGCTGCTCTGCCCAGACACGTGGGGAACAGGTCATGAGCAACTGAGAGGCCATCAGCTGTTTTCTGAGCACAACAGTGCTGGACAGGAAAGTCATGTTTTTTCTTTCTCTTATGATCCATCCGGTGCCACTCAGTGTTGGAGGTTTTCTATTGATGCTCAGCCTGGTTCCTCGGCGTGCCGCCGGGGAGACAGAGGGGTCAAACAGGGTGCAGTGGTCTGCTCCGGATGTCGCCACTGACCACTCAGCACAGCGGTGCCCTTAAGCATTACCCGGCGGGTCTCTCTTCTCTTCAAGCGCAGCTGGTGTTCGTATTCTAAAAGCACACCCACCCCACCTCTTTGCCCCATTGCCCTTGACCCCCACAGGCTGTAAGGACATGCTGGGGCCTTTGGGCAGTGGACAGTGAAGTGACCCTGCAGGCGCTTGTGCTGCCCTTGGCTTGGAGAGCTTTCTGGAAGTTTGCAGCTTGTGAGAAGAAAGCTGCTGGGCTGTTTGTCATGGGCCCCTAACAAAAGAGGAATTGTGTAACTAACTCAGGCATGTCAAGTGCTCTTGCAAAACAAGAGTAAGTGATTCATTCAGTGCTGAGCTTTTGTCTTCGGTCGTTAAGGCCTAAAGGCTTTTTGTTTTGTTCTTTTTGTTCCTTTACTGGGCCCAGTTTCACTGTCAGGTTTTGGGAAAGTGTTCAGTCACTGTGCTTCAGCAGAGGAAGGTACCAGATTTGGAGCTAGATGCAAAGGGACTTCCAACCATTCTTTCTGATGTGTACCAGAGCAAAAATAATCCTAACAACACACCCCCAGGCAGTTTCACACCCCCCCGACTCCACTCCCTGAGCCCGGCAGACTGGACGGGTTTGAAAACCCTCCTCCAGTATGGTGGCGGAGGAGGAGGGTGTCATTCTGCCGGTGCCGACACTGACCGGCTACAGTGGAACCGCTAAATGTCAGCCAGCTGTTTATTTAACGGGCCCTGAGCCTCATCTACAGCAGCTGCCCTGGCTCAGTCATTCTTGACCCTCGGGCTCTTCTGTGAGAGAACGGCCCTGTGCCTCATTTCTGCTTGTGACCTCCTGTTTGTTTCTCGCTCTTAACCGTGAAACAGCCCCTTGGGTGGACGTTCTCAGTATGTCTGGGAGTTTGCAACCCTTCAATCGGACCCCCTGTCAGTCTCTTGTCTGTCTCTGTTGGGCACAGAGAATCGCACCAACAGCTCGCTGGGCGCCAACCACACTGAGGAGGAGATGGTGCGAATGAATGGCTGGCTGACCTGCAAGGACCAGGACGAGATGCTGAACCTCGCCTTCACCGTGGGCTCCTTCCTGCTGAGCGCCATCACCCTCCCGCTGGGCATCGTCATGGACAAATACGGGCCGCGCAAACTCAGGTTGCTTGGCAGGTGGGTGCAGATCGCAGGGCACCGGAGGGTTTCAGTGCTACTCCCTTCTCCACTTGCTCGTTATTTCATATCTCCTTTAAAAGGAAATATCATCACTTGTGCCCCATGTGTGTTGTTTGTTCTCACCAGAACTGTCTTGACCAGTTTAGAAATGGTCGTCTTGCACGGGTGTGTGGAACAAAGTTATTGAAGTAGAAGTCTTTGACTTCTGTCCTCCTCATGAGTGATGTTAACAATGCTGTGTCTGCCGAAGGAGCAGTGTTTCCAGTCATTGACGTTGGTCTTCTCTGTTCCTATTGCAGTGCCTGCTTTGCCATTTCCTGCTTGCTGATAGCGTATGGAGCCAACAATCCCAACGGTACGTGTCATCTCACTGAGCAGCACTTTATCCAAGCAGGTGCCTTCGTTGATAATGTAGCTTGACTTTACAATGAAAATTAGACATGTACACATTCCATAGTGAGAAGACATTGTAGAGAAGTCTCACGATTATGTAGTGAGTTACTGTAAAAGGATCAGGTATGATGAATTACCTAATATAACTATGGTAAGGTGGCGTAAGTCTTCAGTCTTTTGAGCAGATATTATTAGTAGCTTTGTAGTGTATATATAGTATATGGTCTTGTATTGCTCATCATACAGAGTTTTTGGAACATATCCTCATGCTGCAGCTTTTGTGTCTGCTCTTATAGAGTTATCTGTCTTCCTCACACAGCCCTGTCCTTCCTCATCTTCATTGCCCTGGCACTCAATGGCTTTGGAGGGATGTGCATGACCTTCACCTCGCTGACGGTGAGTCACTGCGGAAAACAAGCACACTCCAGCAGTTTTCATATCTTCTTCAGGCTGAGTTGTACTTTAGACCGCTTTGCGTCTGGGAGTTGAGAAACTCAAGGATGTGAATTTAGTCCAGCTGGATCCTGGCTGCTTGTGATCAATAACTGTCCAGTTGAGAAGGCGGCATGTCCATAAAAGGCACTAATACACCAGTGGATTTCCAGCAGAGGCTGGTCTTGACCTGAGCATGTGACTTAACTGATTACAGAGGGCGGACTTCCTCGTCTGTAACATTCCTGACTGCTGCTTGCTTACCTTTTGAAGTATAGAGTTTTCTGAGTGCTCTGTGGCCTCAACAGGCTGTCTGTCCAGTCTGTAGCGTCTGAGCATCACAGGTAGACTGTCATTCCGCTGGTTTGTTTCTATGTCACAGTTCCATGTGTTCGTGAGTCAGATCCCTGGTCCAGACGACTCGTACTGAACTCATTGATCCCTGTAGTCTCTGATGTAAATCTGCTGGCTTCTTATTTGGGTGACGTAAAACAGAGAGCTTTTTATTTTGTTTTAGCAACATTTATTAATGACAAAACAATATCTTTGTTGCATGAAAAATGCAGATGCTTACCAAACACTAGCAACTGTGACAGGATTTTGCAACATATTGTATACCAAAAACACATGGATTGAACATACCAGGCTGTTCCTGGAAGATTCCTGGAAGAGTGTAGACTACTGCTGTTGTATAGGCAGTAAAAATAAAGACTGCTTGAGAACTAGGGAATACTACAAATCCTAGAATTAATTGTTGAATCAGAATTTTATACAGGTAAAATGTGATGTAGACACATCTTAAGTAGCATTTTTTCATCTCCTATTACGAAAGGTGTTGTTACTAGTTCTTAAGGGACACACCTGCCAGTCTTCAGCCAGTTCTTGTAATGACATTGAAGCAGGTGGTCCATTAAGGAAAATGCTGGGTCACTCAGTATAATCTTAATAAGCAGTTAAGGAAGCGTTTGATCATCTTCTAAGATAAATAATTGAATTAGCTCTAGCTGAACTTCAAATCGATCTCTAAAACGGAGCGATTGCCAGAGGCGGTGACTGCTTTTTTTGGTGACGATAAAGGTTATGAACCCCTGTGTCCACCTGCCTGGCCCGGCGGTTTTCTGACTGGCTGCAGGGAGGACAAAACTGTCTCCAGGCTCCGGCTGGGAGTGGATGTGCTGTGTCTCCAGTGGTTACAGCAAACAGGCGCCCCTGACTGCTTTCTGCTCCATTACCCTGGGCCTGGAGGCTTTTATTCCAGCCATGCGTTGTCACTGGCCTTGCTCCTGGTGGAGTGTTGCGGAAACCAGACTTTATCCTGGCAGCAGGGGGCACGCCGCGCGCGGCCCAGACCAGGTGCCCTCTGTATTGTCTGGGAGGGGGCGTAGCTCACAGGGGAAGAGCTGGAAGGAGTTCCCTTTTTCTTGTGCCAGAGTTCCCAGTCAGGAGAAGGGCAGATCAGGTCACCTTGTTTCAGCTGCACGCTGGCTGTACGGAGCTCCTGAGAACACTGCTCTCAGTTTCACCTCTCAGGCTCTTGGTCTCGGCTGTGGCAGACAATAACACTGCTGCAAAGCCGGTTTTCCCAAAGAAGGCTTTGAATCTTGAACAAGTCCATGCGTGTAGTCTCGGGCTGTTTGTGAAAGTCCCATGATTTCTGCAGTTGTTGTTGTCCTCCATGATGAACTTTGCGCGAGGCCTGAGGGCTTTTTATGATCCTTGTTTTTTTGTCACAGATAGCATGTACAGTTCTCTTTAAGTTGTTCAGTTTTTATAGGAGTTTTTATCATTATGTCCTTAGTCAATAGTTTGATTGGGAAGTTAAGGCAGTTTTCCTCCACAGTTAATTTTATTAGACTCTGGGAAAACATCTGTTGAAATTTAAAGAAGCTATTTCTGAAATACAGGACACAATGCATGTTGGTGTAGATCTGTAACAGCACATTCCACTGGTGTCCAGTGGCATGATTACCATGAGTGGGCTGAGCCACCTGGGCACCCACACAGAGCTGTACATGGACAGAGGCTGCCTCTGTGGATGTTTTGTCCTGCCGAGTCAGAGTGACCCCTGTCAACTGCCCAGTGACGCCGGACAGGCATAGTGCTCGTTCACCTTTAACCCTCTTTCTTGTGGAGATTCAGGCAGTTGTGAAGGAAATCTTACAGACCCCTGACTAATGCTAACTCTTCCCCCTACGGCGTGGGGCTGCTGAGAGAGAGGGAGAGACATGTTCAGCAGTGACTATTCTCAGAGACAGGGCTGTTTTCTGAGAAACACCGAGGGTCCAGCCCTCTGGAGTCGCAATGAGGGGGCGACAGGGAGTCGGACTAAACCCCTGCTGTTCTCGGTCTGTCCAGCCTGGCCAGGAAGGCTCTCCATTCCTTCCAGCAGCTCCCTGACTCAGAGAGGGGAGCGACTAAAAGAACAGGAAGCGATTTTGGCTGCCTTCCCTGGCTTCCACTGCAGAGTCAGCAGTCTCCGACTGCGGTAAACAAGACAGGGAAATCTGAGGAGGGCAGCCAATGGAGAGGAGAGGAAAATCTTTGATGCGCACACCTCATTCGAGCCCCCATCTTAACCTCCCCGGTAACCCCATGGGTCTGGAGAGCCAGCCTCAGCCTGCGATGGTGCTGCAAAGCAACAGCAGCCCACTCTCTCATCATGCCGAGCCAGGGGCAGCTGACGGCAAGACCCATCAAAAGATGAAGGGTCTGTAGACAAGCTGTTCCAGAATGTGCATTCCTCTATTTTTAGATGTTTACTTCTGAGACTGCATAAAGGCACAGTACAATAATTAAGCTTAGTGAACAGTAAGCGCATTGCTAAAGCCAGATTAGCAGGCTGGGGCGAGAGGACATACAGAGGCAGATGGAAAGGAATGTCTGCATGAGGAGTGGAAATGGGCCCTTTAAGACTCGGAGCAGAATGGCCAGGTCTGTGACTGCTCAGCCCCTCAGAGCACGCAGACTGATTCCTGCAGAAAACATGACAGCGAGCAGGAAGGTCTGGGCACAGCCTGCCGTGTGCAAACCGGCTTGAACCAGCTCTGCAGAGGCCCTGAGTCATAACAGGGAAGCTGGCGAGACCCGCCAGCCTCATGCTTCCCTGTTGAATCGACAGCGCACTGTGACTAAACCTAGAGTGGTGAAATACACAGAAACTGGCTCTGGCCTCCCCAGGGAACGCTGATATCAGCACCACCAGATTAGAGCCCGGGCTGCTGCTGATGTGCTCTTCTCCGGAGCTGGTCTGGATGGGGCTGGATTGGTCACCTGCTATTAGATGGGCTGCTGACCTCAGACTCAGCACAACTTCCGCTTTGCACAAGAATCGGGAACGAGTTCCCTCCGTATCGTTCCTCATTTGCTGAAACCATGCAGGCTGTTTTGTCAGAAAGTACATGCTAGTGCTGCTTTCTGCTGTTGTCGATTGTCGAATTTGTTTTCCGTATTTGTATGGCTTAGCTATTGAGAAACACCACAAACAGAGCTGGTCTTTCTATCGAAATCATTTCTTCCCCTTATGGATTGTAGTTAATTTTTGACCTCTGCTCTTGCCCGGTGGTTTTGGGGAAGAGATAAGGCCACCCAGTGGAACAGCTGCTCTGTAAAAGACAAATGCGAGTCCTTTTTCCAATTTAACAGGCCATCGCTGTAAATATGGCACATCCATCTTGCTTGTAGGCTCTTTCCAGTTCTGTATTTCCGCTACTTTTAGGTTTTTCCTGTTGCTTTTCTTTAAAATTTCAAGGGTAATAGATTTATCTCCCAGGAAGAACTGTAGTTGTTCAGCGAACGACAAAGGTAAATCATTAGCCACATCTTTAGGCTCATTACTCCCCTGTTATGTCCCTTCAGTCATGCCTCAGCAGTCTGTGAGATAACAGGAGACCAGCTCAGCCTTCTTTCTCTGCCCTGCTCTGCGTGTGCTGTTAGAAACAGTCATATCTGTGCTGACCTGGGGATCACACTGTGGGTCTCTTCAGTCCCTGTTATTAATTTTTTCCAGAGGAGTGCTCCAGAATTTTTCGGCAGCTTAAAAAAAATAACAGCCTCCTGAATTGCCCAGCTATTACAGGTGCCCAGGTGGAGTCCTGTATGCCAGGACTGTCATTGGTGCGAGTCTGAGGCTGTGTCACTGGGACACGCTGGGCCAGTGTGAGCTTGCAGTGCCACAGTGGGGGCCCAGTGTGTCACACAGAGGGGCAAATAGACAATGGCTTGACAGGGTCGCTATGGGCCAATTGCTCAAGTCTTGATTTACAGCTGGTGATTTCATACTGGGGAGGTTGAAAACCGTAAACTGACTGGTGAAACTGTGACAGGGATTATGTAGCTATGTTAGCTCTTAACTTCATTTTTATTTACTCTGAATAAGAAAAACCAGATAATAGAGAACATAGTTAAGGCTGTGAGGAGACGGGGGCTGCAGAGCACAGGTCTCTGTGTAGACAGATCTGTGTGTGCAGCACAGATTGTTCCCACTCAAAGACAGCAAGCAAGATTAATGAGATACTGGAAATACCTGTGTACAGACAGTACACTCACACTGTCATACAAGCAGTTTGTGACTTTTTTTATCAATGCAGACCCGTGGTGCTCTGGCCTTACTTGAATATAGCAGAATAAAGGGGACAGGGATATACTTGCACAGAGTGTTCCTTTACCCAAGCAGACAGAGAACAGAACAGCCAGCCTCAGACCTGCTTGACAGACTCAGGCAGCTGTTGACCTTCCTCTCTGTACCATCACACACAGCACCAGCACTTTCCTCTTCTTGAAGTTGTCAGACTCTTCTTTCTGCCACAAATGAAAATGTTTTGCTGATCTGAATGCATTTTTCAGTTGTAGGGATCCTTGATCAGAATGTGAGATCTTTATTTATGACAGCGGTGTCTCGTCTCCCTGTCTCTGCTCTGATAGTCAGCCTCGGTGTGATTCTTGTTTACACTGGAAGTTGAGAACAGGCTGTTCTCTCACCCCAACTGAAAACAAATGGTGTTAAATTTGCAGGAGGACATGTGCTGTTCTGTCACTCCTCCCCCAATTTCTGAGAATTGTAAAAAAAGCTGACAGAAACAAATGTGATAACTCCGCCCACGTGTTTAACCCCGCCTACTGCATGTGATGTAATTCTTAACCATGCCCAGAGATCTAGTCCCACCCACCCCTCTCATTTCACACAGCTCTATAACTGTGTACTGTGCTGCATTATCATTCCAGACAAGCACTGTTATTTATAATGAATGCCATGGTGAATGTCCTCTGCAATCACAAATGCAATGTATTGTTAAATTGTTTTTCAACTTGTTCTAATTTTTGGGATCCCATCTGTCTTGTTTCAGTAATCTGAAAATGCTGTAGCTGAGCAGCATAAGTTCTAGGTGGGTGAACAAGCAGTTGATATAATTTCCAAACAGTCTCATTGCAGTGAGTCCTGGTAGAGGATGTGTCTTTTTAAGTGACTAGTGATTCATCATATTCATTCTAACCAATCTCTGTCTGAGCTGTGGACAGTTTATCACTATTATTCAAGAAATGGAAAAGAAAATATTATGTCCTTCACTTTTGAGATACAAGACTATCACGTAAAACCTGACCTGCATGTACATATCTCTTCATGATGGACCTGAGTGTTTCAGCAATCTGAAATGTTTCAGAATTCTTTTTAAGGGCCGGTCAGCAAGGTTCTTTGTAATCAAGATGATAAATAGGAAGACAAACGTTGGTATGGGCAAGCAATAAAAATGGATCCCTACATGTCACAAAAATAAAAAACAAAACAAAAGCAAAGGCAGCACCTGTAACAAGCAGAAAGAGGCAGATCCGTTCTGCTCTGTTCATTCTTGCTAGTCTGCTGATCTATACAGTCTGTGCTGCAGGCTTCAGGTTGTCAGGCACTGGAACTGACTGTGTCTGCTTGATTGTTTGTCTTCCCAGCTGCCCAACATGTTCGGGGACCTGCGCTCCACCTTCATCGCGCTCATGATCGGCTCCTACGCCTCCTCTGCCGTCACCTTCCCAGGTGTCAAGGTAAGTGTGGGACTCCTTGTGGTCTGCGCACCCCATGGCTGTACTGGACTGCAGCACAGGCTCAGAGTGGCCTTGGCACTGTCTTGGTGCTGTGCTGTACCACACGAGACATTGTACCAGCTGGCAACTTGCTGCTGAAAATACACTGCAGTACTGTAGCAGTCTCCCAGTTCACCCAGTTAGCTCTTATTTGGAAAGAGTTTGTACTGCCGGATGTTGCAGTTCCATTGGCATCAGCACAGACAGCCTGATGGTTTTGCTTTTGGACTGATATAACATTTTTGGTATTCAGGTATGTGCTAAAGATGTTGTAATAGTGCTGCTGAAAGTGAACTGAAACAGAGGGTGCTTTTTGAGACCCATTGAACTCTCCTGTTGTCTGCAGTCAGTGGAGTCTCTTTTTCTGAAGCTCTTATACTAAGGGGAAGCCTTTAAGACTCAAAGGGTGGTAGCAGTCAAAGCCGAGATCCCTGGTATCTTTCAAGATGGAGGAGATCCTCAGATCTATTGACTGCCAGCAACTAGCCACCCAGATGGGCAGAATGGGGACCTCTTGTCTAGTTACCTTTCTTTTGTTACAAATTCATCATTGTCCTCCGTGGTGCTCCCCACAGGTGATCTATGACCTGGGTGTGACCTTCATCCTCATATTGCTGGTGTGGGCAGCCTGTGCAGGGCTGGTCTTCATCAACTGCTTCTTCAACTGGCCCCTAGAGCCTTTCCCCGGCCCGGAGGACATGGACTACACGTGAGTCTCGCACTCTTGTTCATACACGGCTACATGTGTCTCGCACACTCGTTCACACACATGGGCTACACGTGAGTCTCGCACACTCGTTCACACACATGGGCTACACATGAGTCTCGTTCACACATGTTCCCGTGGGGTTTGAAGGGGGCTGGTTTTCACTGGCAGGGTCTATCCAATGCACTTCTACAACTCCCATTGCTTTACTGTAACAAAACACTTTCCTGCTCACAGTGGGCTGAGTCCATATTCACTGCCTGTTATTTTTTCTCGCAGGAAAGATGTTCCTGCTCTGTGTGATATTTTCATTCCTGCCGTCATGCTGTGTGCTTCTGTTAGGCCATGAAGTTGACAGACACTGCTGAGTGGCTGCAGAGCCATGCGGCCCCACATACATTTGTTTTTATTACAAATCTCTGTGATTAGAGTGGGCTTGTGCTACTGTCTCCTCATGGCAAACTGTGTAGTAGCAGCTGGAGCCCAGTAATGCGATAGTTGCATTGTGTTTCCTTTGAATTTACCTTAGGAAAAACAATTCAGATTATGAATCTCTTTAAAATAAAGTGTTAAAACAAAGGCATCTGTAAAAATAGCTTCAGTACATTCATTGAATCTGCCTTTATATTTATAAAATACCATAAATTGAAGTGATAAAAGAAATAATTGCATTTTAGATTCAAAGACTTCTTTGAAAAGTAAATAACTCTTGAGCTGCCTGTTTAGATGGATGTGAGTCTTGACAGTGTGGGTCTGGCTCATGGCAGAGTGAAGATCAAGTTCAGCTGGCTGGGCTTCGACCACAAGATCACTGGCAAGCAGTTTTACAAGCAGGTGACGACGGTGGGGAGAAGGCTCAGTGTGGGCAACTCTATGAAGCAGAACCCCAAGGAGCTGGCAGCCCAGGATGGGAACAAGCTGTGCCTGTCCACTGTCGACCTGGAGGTTAAGTGTCAGCCTCAGGGAGATGGTAAGGAGACCTCCCAGCAACAGCCACTGTTGATGCCCGTCTCAAACCCACCCTCCATTGTGGCATCACCCTCTCAAACCTGCCCTCCATTGTGGCATCACCCTCTCAAACCTGCCCTCCATTGTGGCATCACCCTCTCATACCTGCCCTCCATCCTGACATCAGTCTACTGTGAAGAGGGATACCTACTTCAAGAAATGGCTTTCAATAAAAACTAAAAATATCAAAAATCTTATAAATATGTATTATTATTATTAATGAAATTATTAATAATAAAACATTAAAGCAAATCAGCAGATCCTCTGTAAGTCCTGTCAGAGAAGTTCTGTTGTGTGAGAGTGGTGATCCTGCTTAAACTGAGGGTGAAACATTTTCCTTTGTTTTTGGGGACCTGCCAGGCAGGTGCTGAGGATACCCAGGGACCACCTTACCCCTGCTTGCTCTAGTTCATATGGTTAAAGCTACTTAAATAACTAAATACCAGATAGAGAAAAGAGTAACAGAAAAACCAAAGTTGCTGGGCTGTGCTTTTATCCTGCTAACTCTCATCCTAGTTACCCTGACAACTGCATCAGCGGTCCCCAGTCGCCCTGGCAACCGCAGCTCAGGTCCCTCTGCAGTCTCTACCTTTGAGAAAACAGAGGGGCTGGAAATGGCCTGAAAAAGCTGAGGAGATGAGCTAGCAAATTTCTGAACAAGGCAAAAAGTGAAATGTTACGCAAGCAAATTTAATCTCCATCTGTCCCTTATTTCCATGTTTATTGCACTGCTGAAATCTCTGGATCGAGCCCAGTTTCCAACACCTCTCCCTTACCCTGCCTCCTCACACTTGCATTAATAATAGGGTGAAGAGATTTTTATCTATGATAACAAAAAACAATTATCGATGGGGATGGAGGATGAATTACTTTTGTTGAAGACCTTCACCATTATAACCTGAGATTGTATTCTTGTTGTTAAATTGTTCTTTATTCCTCATTTACCAATGTTTCTTTTATGGGAGATCTGAAAGTTATAGACTGGATAGTTGTTTCCCATTTAAGCTCTGTAATAATTAGAATGACACATAACAGTAAGTGAACTGGATTCTCCAGAATAGTGTCAGCAGTGAGAAGGAGAGATGTGTTATTTTTGACTCATGTCACACTGCGTCCTATCCACCTCTCTGCCAGACTCTAGTCTTGCCAACATTCTTGTACCAAGGTAGGAAACGGAAATCGAAGAAAACTGTCAGCCCTTTTTCCTTTATCTGCTACATCAGAGCTAGAATAATGCTGGAAAGGACCAAACAGACTGTACGGTCACATCAGGTCAGCACTAAATCTAGGTCTCTGCTGAGATTAATTGGTAAAGAGAAGAGAATAATGGGGGAAGAGATAAATGGGGCAGAAACATGAAATCTGCTAGTCTCCCGCTGTTCCAGGTGTGAGATCTGGAGCAAACATCTGGATGTTAAGGAGCAGAAAGTTCTGAGTGTGTAGCACTTTAAAATGGGAAATACAGTATACAGGGGTGATAACTTGAAGGATAACAGTCTTCCTGGCTCTTAGCCTTTGAAAGGCAGCAGTGAACATTCCTGACATTCACTATAATAAAAGAATATAGCTGTAATATGGCCATAAAGTTTTCTGCATCAGTAAGCATGTTCCCAGGCAGTGGGTTTGACTCTAGTGAAAAGTGGAACATTAACCGAACTGTTCTCTGTTTTGCTGTGGATAAGAAGAGTAACTCATATCGCCTAACCTAAATCGGCATGCCTCCAGCCCAGTATCTAGGAGCAAATGGGATATAAGTAATACAATAAGTGCTATTTTCCTCTTCTGCTGTATACTCCAGTTATGATACTTGTCTGTCCTCACTCAGAATTCAGTCTCTGTTTTGGGGTCATTTCTTAGCAAAGGAATGTTAGCAGCAGCTTGAGCTGTGCGGGTATATATGTGG